CTTGCCTCAGCCTCCCAAGTGGCTGGGACTATATAGGTGCCTGCCACAATGCCCAGATATATTTGTTGTTATTGTAGTTGTCATTGGTGTTTAGCTGGCCCAGGTCGGGTTTGAACCCTGTACCCCCCGTGTATGTGGCTAGGGCCATAACTACTGTGCTACGGGCACCGAGCCTTTTGTAGAGTTTTATTACCAGCTGTGTAGATAGGTCTGATAAGGTTTGTTGCCATTTTCTATTATTTCACTTTGGGTTAATTAAAAAATCTATATATTTCTTTCCTGCAGCAAATATTTGTTGATTGAGAATGTAGGAAGCAAGAGAAATAATGTATAAGACACTTAAAAATTTTTTGCTTTTTGTCTGTACATTGACTCTGTAGTCTACCTGAAGAATCCATCTGTCCCCACATGATTAAGATGATGACACAGGGTTAATTTCTAGCTTCTGACAGAGGAAGTTTGAAGGATGGAAATTTCTGGAAATTCAGGCATCTGTGTGTGTATGTGTGCATGGGGGGTAAGGGAACGCATGTACAAGAGTATGTCTCCTTTAGGGTCAGATGTGGTTTGGATGTTGGATGGAGTGCGGGGCTGTCAGTCATGGGCAGTAAGGAGAGTGTAGGGAGGAAAGTACAGAGTGAAAACTAGCCTAATATGGCAGAGGTCCAGAGGGACTCATAGGGGTACAGACTTTAGGAAAGTAGGAGAACACTATAGGATCCTGACCTAGATCAGAGGGATTGAGCTAATCTGGTTACCAATGACTAAATTTATTTTATTTTATTATTAGTATTTTTTCGTTGTTGGGGAAGGTGGGTGTTTTTTGTTTTGTTTTTTTTAGAAGATTGAAACGATTTTGGTTTTATTGCATTCAGATCTAGCATGAAACCTCCTGAGAGCTGGCACAGTTACAAATCTTTGGGCTTGAGGGAGTTTTAGAAGATGATAAAAATATACCAAGGAGCAAAACCTCACATATTTTATAACTGGCAGAAGCCAGTACCTTCCACTTTACAACTTCACATTCAGTTGCTGAATTTATTTGTTTAAAAATCCATTTGGTCTTATTTTTTGTTTTTCTGTAATTAAGACCATTTGAAAATAAGTAAGGATTGTCTGCAGACCCCACAGGATTTTTTCAAGGAGTCCATGAGGTCAAAACTATTTTTATAATAATGCTTAGATGTTATTTGTCCCTTTTCACTGTTAGGATGTTTGCACTGAGAGTGTGAAGCAGTTGTAGGTAAAGCTGTTGGTGCCTTGGCATGAATCAAGGCAGTGGTACCAACCATTACAGTGGTCATTGCATTCTTCATCGCTGTGTGCTTACAGGAGAAAAAAGGGCAGTTTTACTGAGGAATGTCATGAGTGGCCTTCATGAAGAATTAAACATTTATTTTCTTAAAACCTGAAGCTGAGCGCAGGTCTTTTTAATATTGGGTGATCTGTATGATAAAGTAGGAATTACACATAAAGCTCTTCTAAATTGTGATGTTTGACTTGAGAAAGAAACCCATGTGAGGCTGTTTGAATTGCAAATACCATTTTTATGTGAAAGAATCATTGACAGGCAATCTATATTTAATCATAATTAAGTATTTGGGAGACATTTTATCAAAAATGAACAAAGTGAACCTGTCACTTCAAGGGAAAAAATTTGACAGTAGATAAATTTCAGGGTTTAAAGTAAAAATTAGAATTTTGGAAGACATGTATCTCCCATCATAAACCTAACAGCTTCTTGGTACTTAAAGACTTGTCTGATAAGATTAGTGGTAAAATTAATGAATGTGATTATTTGCTGTTTTATGTATAATGAAATGTGTCGACATAACTCAATGAAACAACATTTTTCAAATAACCAGTGTACATGTGAATCATAAAACTTATGCCTAGGTAAAACATTTTGCCTAGGTAAACATCTATTTAGAATGCATGATAAAATTAGTAGATTTTAATAAGAGTCAATTACAAAAAGCTTATTGATACAGTTTCAGATTCCACATTGCAACTAACTTTTAAGAAACTACCAGTTGTGGACAAAAAAGAAAAAGAAAACCACCATTTGTCTAGTTTTTATGTAGTATCAAGACTATCCAGTTATAAGAAAAGGTTACTAAATAATCCTCCATTTTCCAAGTTATATACAAGTATAAAACTCTTTTTTGAGAAAAAGTCTCAAGCTGTCACCCTGGGTAGAGTGCTGTGGCGTCATAGCTCACAGCAACCTCTTACTCTTGGGCTCAAGAGATCCTCTTGCCTCAGTTTCTGTTTTAGTAGAGACAGGGTCTCACTTTTGCTCAGGCTGGTCTTGAACTTGTGAGCTCAAGCAATTCACCCACCTTGGCCTCCCAGAGTGCTAGGATTATAGGCGTGAGCCACCGCATCAGCCTATGTATGAAGCTTTTACACTTTAGCCAACACACCATTCTATAACTGATTGAATACAGGAGCATATATGAGGATCCAGCTGTCCTTGTTTAAATTAGATACTAAATAAGTTTGTAAAAATATAAAACAATGCCATCTTGTCATTAATTATAAAAATATAGCAAATTTTCACTTGAAAGTAACATGTTAT